GGGGAGGAGAAACCCCTGAACTCCCAGTGACTCCTCATGAGACCCAGACCTGCCAAACAGTCCACAGAGGACCCCAGCACCGTGCTGGGTGAGCACATGGTGGGTGTGGGGCTGGGGGTTGGAAGGCCAGGTTCTTTTAGGGGCCCTAAAGCAGTGGAAGGCATGTGAAGGCTGGTGGGGGCAACACCAGGAGCTGCGGGGAGGCAACCAAAGCCCCACAGGGGATGTAGAGGCTGAACTTCACTGCAAGAGAAATGCTGAAGAGTTTCAGCTGCACAGACTTCCCAGGGCAGATTACAGACTCCTCGCTGGCTTATTTTCTTTTCCTTTGCAAAACCTGCAGTATTTATGATACCATGGCCCCTGTTCCTGCAGGGAGCTGCCCTCCCCTCTCTGTGGCAGCTGGCAGAGCAGAGCTGGGTGTTCCTGCTGCCGGGGGCAGAGCTGGGGAGGGCATCCAGCCTCACCCTGTGTGTCCCTGTTGCCCGGCCGCTCCGGGCATGGCGCGGAGGAAACGGGGCCTTTCCTGTCCTGCAAGGAGTGCTGAGATTTCCAAACATTTCCTTTCCCAAACTGGGCTGCAAAAAAGAAAGTTGGGGAAGGTTTGGGAACTTTGCTTCTGCTCGGCCGGGAAAGGTTGTTCTGGGAAAACTTTCTTTGCATTTCAACCTTTTCCCTTTGGTTAACCTCCCACCACAGAATGCTGTTACCTCTCCAAAGGCTTTGCCTCCCATCTAAAAAAACTTGGAAACATTTTTTTTTTTTCCAGTGCTCTTTTTCTCGAGTCAGGAAATGTTTTGGAGCTGTTTCCTACAAACAGGTTTGATTTTGATAAATCTTTTTTTTTTTCCCCTTTTTTTTTGTCTATGGAACCGGGGGGAAAAATATAAATCCCATCACTTGGTCTAAAGCAGCTTCCTGATGCCATAGTGGGGAACCAGCACCGGCAACATCTTCCCATGCACTGAGCACACAAAATACAGAGACCAAGAGGCTTTAATTCCACGTTCACATCCCAACTGGGATGACTTCATGGAGGCTGTGGTGTCACCCCATGGTGAGCTCTGGGCTGGGATGGCTCAGGCTGCCCCAGAGCTGCCTCCTGCCACCCCATGCATCCCACTTGCCCCTGTCTCCACCGTGGCCTCAGCCCCGGGAAGGGCGAGCCCGGAGCTGCGCGTCGCCTCGCCGGGCCGGCTGGCACATGCGGTTTTAATATTTGGGTGATGTCATCGAGCGCTCCATAACGCCGTAAAAAAAAACCAGAACGTCTATAAACCCGGCCCGTGAACCTTCAGCAGAACACACACACACACACACACACACACACACACACACACACTCGGGTGTGCACATGGATGCACACACATGGACACATGCACACGGACACACGTGGGAGCACGCACACACACGTGCACACGTATGGATGCAGATGTGCAGGTGTGGAGATGCACACGCACACGGATGCACAAACTCACTGATGCATACACACACATGGAAACACACGCACATGGATGCACACATGTGGATGCACATGCGTGTGCACGTGTATACACCGATGTGTACCCGCAATTGCACACATGGATGCCCACAGTGATTCATGTACACACGTGCTTGCACGTGTTCACCCTGATGCACACAACTGCTTGTACACACACACACACACACGTATTGGGACACACACACATGGATAGAATCCACTGCCCCACACCCCCAGGGGACACAGTGCAGATGCCACCTGCCCATAAAGCCCATGTAGGACCTGGAATTGCCTCCCCCTCTCCCCGAATCTGGGGAAAGCCAGCGGGATGGGCTGTCGGGTTTTCCATATACCTGTCAAATACCTTCTCCATATTTCTGCTGTAACGACCTGCTAAAAGCCCCTCGCTCCTCCTCCCCAGCCCAAAACCATCCGGCCCCGAGCTTTGGAGAGATTAAGTCATAAAAATCGGAAGGGGCTGCGCAGTAACAGCCCCAGCCTGAGCCATAACGGCAGTGAAATCATCCCCAAACTATGTCAGCCCTGGCCATTTCCAGTCCCACGTCACACCTGAGCCACCGGCACACTCCAAAAGAAAACACTGGGGGATGGTTTCATGGTCCCAGAGTGGTTGTAAGGGGACAGGGGAAAGATAAAAACAGTATAGATGTTAAAAACATAGAAAGTAATATGTAAAATATTAAAAATATATAACAATGTTAAAGGTACCAAAATATAAAAATAATATAGAATGTATGAAAACAATATATAAACTTAGAACTAATATATAAAGATATAACAAATATATGAAAATATAAAAAGAATATATAAAATTAGTGGTATGGTTAAAGCCCGTCACGGATCCAGCACCCTTCCCTAGGACCCAGCACCCCTCCCAGGGTCTGCTGAGCTCTCTGCCTTCCTGATAGAGCCAGATCAGCCCCTCTGCTGACCAGCTTCACCAAACCCTGGATTTGGAAAGGGACAAACACTGTCCTGGCCGTGGCTAAACCATGATGCTGCAGCACTGACACTGTGGGAAGGCTCCTGCCCAAACCACTGTTGGGTCTGTACCAGCCCCAAACCAAGCTGATTTGGGACACTTCTTGATAAACTTGATGTCAAAACAGTGAGTTTAAGTGAAAAAGGCTGTGTAGAACACCAAGTGATGGGAGGAGGTGCCATCCCCCAGAGTCTGGTGTGGGTCCTTTGCCTGCTTGTATCTGACCCATACCCTGCTCTGCTTTTTTTCCTTCTTCCCTTCTCTCTTGTTTCCCTGTGCCCTGGGGTAGGGCTGGCCAGTGAGATGGGGCTTTTGCAGCAGCTGGGGTTTCAGCATGGTTAATCCTTGGTGCATTTATGGATGGGAACCACCATCCATCATGGTTTTCAGTCTGTTATCTGCTCTAAACCCATGACAGCATCCTTGAGCATGAATCACAGAACGGTTTGGGGTGAAATGGACCTTAAGGATCATCTTGTTCCACTCCCCTGACATGGACAGGGACACCTTTCAATAGACCAAGTTGCTCCAAGCCCATCCAACCTGGCCTTGAACACTTCCAGGGATGGGGCAGCCACAGCATCTTTAGGCAACTTGTGCCAGGGTCTCACCACCCTCATTTTAAAAAAAGGGCTTCTTACATCTAATCTCAAATGACCCTCTTTCAGTTTAAAAACCATTTTCAACAGTTTTGCAGTGCAGGTTCTTTGGGAAGCTCCTGTCTGTGCCCATCTGAGCACCTGAATCCAGGACATGCTATACCCAAATTGCAACACAGCCCAAAAATCCCCCGATGGGTTTCCCAGCCATCCTCTGAGATTCGAGGCAAGCCAAGCCACGGGGAAAGAAGGGAATTTCTGCTGCAGAAAAATGACTTAATGTTTCCTCCACGATGCGACGGGCAGCTGGGCGAGGACCAGCCTGCGCATCGCTGCTTTGAACCGCAGGAAGTGACCGCATCCCCGCCTGGAAGGTACCTGGAAGCTGGGGGCTGGAAAATAACTCAGGGCTTTCTTCTTCCACCCCCACCCCTGCCCTCCCCTCACCTCCTTCCTCCCAGGCCGCTTCAGGGAGCGGAGCGGGATGGAGCCCATAGCCGGCTGCTTCCTTTCATAGTCATCGGCGGCACAGGCACAGGATGCTTCTCATTTGGTGTTGTGTTTGTTTGCTGCAGCGCGGGTTCTGGCACCCGCCGGGCGCCCGCCAGCCCTCCCGTGTAGGTAGTGAGGTCATTTTTCCATGTATTCCCCCTTTTTACATACTGTATATGGAAAGACAATGAAGCGCCTTTGTGGCGTTCCATGGGAACGCGTCGCCGGCCCCCGGAGTGGTCCCGTTTATTAGCGCTTCACATTCAACAACAACCCCAAAAAAAAAGTGAGTCAGGATTGAGTCCTGTTAACACTAATGTGAATTTAATTTAGGAGAAGCTTGAAAATTAATGTCATTTGTTAAATATCCATTTCCCCTAAAAGGCAATTCTTTGCCAACATCAACAACAAAAAAACTCTTCTTCTATTCAATTTTTTTTGAAAAAAATTTTTTTTTTTTTTTAAATAGCCTTTTTTGGCCATATCAGCCTGGTTTAAATCACTCAGCGCTCAAGGAACGGATGCCACCAGGTTTTAAGCAACAGATTGTTGTTCCTCCTTTTCAAATGGAACAAAAAAAAAAATACTGTAAATCACAAAGTGATTCACAGGAGGGGGATGAAGCTCCAGCAAAGCATCAGCAGCTCTGAGCGGGATCCGGCCGGGCACGGTGACTGCTCGGCAAGACCTGCCACTGCTGGACCCGGGAAGCAGCCAGTGAAGGCCAGGAGGTGGAAAGACTCAGGCACATGGGGTTTTATTCCATCTCCGAGGGTTGGAGCGAAGGCATCGGAGTGGTCTGGCTCTAATTTTTGGGGGGTTTCATGGGGAAACAGGGTGAGCCGTGGGGATCGCGCAGCGGCTCGCTGCCAGCTTGCCAAAGCAATGACCACACCAAGGCTCATTTCGGAGGAGGGTATCACATGTTTTATTATATTTAAATCTGAGAACAGCTGCTTTTCCTGCAGAGAGCATCTCCAGGCGACACAGCGCGGTGCAGTGGGGCGGCCGCCAGCATCCCATCCTGGGCCACCATCCCATGCCGAGCTGAGCTGAGTCGAGCTGAGCCGAGCCGCGTCGAGCTGCGCTCGCGGAGCCTGAGGTGGCTGACGGGGCGGGCGGGCGGCAGCTTGGAAATTAATACATTTGCCAGGTTGTCAAAACATTAATCAACGGATACAGAAATCTGGAAATGGTTGGGACAACATGTATTTGCGGAAAATATGTGTTCACACAACAAGCACACAAGATGGGAGCAATTATATGAAGATGTTTTAATAATTAACCAGTATAAAACAGTTTGCTCTCCATACAGTTCTAGACAATAAAAGTGTTTGCAGTCATATTTTTCTTTTGTACAAAATTCCAGTCAATTGCTCCACAATATTTACATTTTCATTCCCTTTTCACAAAATATCTCCTTTTTTTCTCCCTCTCCGTTTTTTTTGTTTTGGATTTTTTTTTAGATTTTTTTTTTTTTTTTAAATCCAGCTTTGCTACATAAATGCTTTAGATCTCATGGATATCCCTTGTTTTCTTTTTAAAAAGTCTAATAAAAAAAAAAACCCAAAAGACATTAAATACCATTTTATATATAAAAATGCTTAGTAAAAATATAGTTTTGTTGCCCAATTAAAATATATTGCTGAGAATACAGTAAAAACTGTCCTAAAGCCCACCCCTAATGGGCGCCGACTCTTTAACAGCCCCGGCAAAGTCTTCCTAAACATTTCCCCCGCTACAAGTTTGCCTGCCCTTGGGTTAAATACTGGGGGCAGGTCACTTTGGCTCATCCTGATGTGGTTGTTTCAGGCAGGATTTACTGGAGTTGGTTTTAAAATGCCCCTTGGAGCTGGTGGGAGCTATAGCTGTGCCCTGCCGAGGGCTGGAGCAGGGAGCGCGGCGGGGAAAGGCGTCTATCTGTGTTATATAGTTATACGGTATATCAGTGAGTTCAGCATGGTCTGTCTCTAGAAAAATAAAAATGAAAAAAAAAATTCAAAATAAAAAAGAACAAAAAAAGAAAGCGATGCATTTAATGAGATACTCTAAATATGATGGAGCTCGTGGTTAAAGGAGGATGGCTTTTTGCTTTTAGAGGAGAGTCGGGGCTCTCCTGGTGCGCATCGGGCCGTGGGACCAACCTAACCGGTGATGCAGGGGCTATAGTAAACAGCACTGCTGGCATCGGACAGGGCGGATATCAAACTGCTCTCCTCGCAGGAGATACTTCTAGGAGTCACTTTGGACAGGGAGACATGGTAAGGGAGTCCCGAGGCTTCGGGACGAGTCCTGCTCATGTTCAAATACTGGTCGAACTCGTTGCGGTCAACGTCTGTCCAGAGCTCGGTTTGGTTCAAGTGATCCACGCTCTCCATGTGGTGGGCTTCGGGCGGGGGCGAGAGCTGGCCCAGGTGGGCGGAAAGCCCGTTCTGAGTTCCCGAGCACATCTGGTTGTAGTATATGCTGGAGGGATGGGGAGTCCTCATGGCGTCGGCCAAGTGCGAGGGGGTCTGCGCGTAGGGCACGGCCACGTCCCGCCCCATGCACTTCTCCTGGGGAAACTCCATCTGGTGATGGTGGTGGTAGCCGCGAAAGGGCATCATGTTGCAGTCATCCTGCATGTGCGGAGGGAAAAACGCCGGCTCGGTCTGTTCCAAGACATCCAAGGGAGACATCTCAGGAGTTGGCAAGCCATAGTTTTCAATATCCGACCCCATGGAGTGGAGTTCTCTGAAGTGGTTAAGTGGGGGAGGCTGGGGGTGGCCCGGCTGGCTGCCGCCATGGTGACTCATGCTGAAGTTGTCACTGCAAGGCTGGGAAAGGTTATGCAGGAGGATATTGGGTTCCATCCTCTTGATTTTCTTGGCTTGCTTCTTTCTCCTTGGGCGGTACTTGTAGTTGGGGTGATCCTGGAGATGCTGGATTCGCAGTCGCTCTGCCTCTTCCACGAAGGGACGCTTGTCGCTGGCGCTCAGCGCTTTCCATGACTGGCCTGGAAGGGGAAAGAAAAGCTCTGTGACAACAGCTCAGCCACCCAGCACGGGCCAGGGCACAGGGACACCTAGGGGGAGGCAGTCCTTGGGTGGGAATGGCTCCCTCGGACGGCTTGGTACCTGATTATGGTCCCAGCACTGGCACAAAAAGAGCTGGGGAATGGGAGCCCAAGCCAGTCTATTCCCGTGTCCAGCAGCTGTGCCCAGCACTTCAGTGCTGTGAGAGAGTGGGAGAACACCCAGAGGGGCCACAGAAACCCCTCTGCCAGGGCTGGGGATTCTGCCTCCCACTGCCCCATGGCACAGTCCAGCCCCTGGTGTGCCTCCTTCCCTGTATCCCACCTCCACAGCCCTGCACCTCTGCAGCCCAAATCACCCATCCCCAAACCCCACAGTGCCATATCCTGAATCCCAAATCCCCACACCCTGCAGCCCCGTGTCTCTGCATCCTGCTGCTTCGTCTGGCCATATCCTGCTTCCCGTAGTCCCGCATCCTGCAGCTCCATCTACCCATATCCTGCTTCCCGTGTTCCCACATCCCGCATCCTACAGTCGTGCATCCCGCATCCTGCAGCCTGTATTCCCATATCCTGCATCCCCACAGCTGCGAACCCCACAGCCCTGCATCTCTGCATCCTGAAGCCCCATTTCCCCGCATCTTTCGTACGTGCAGCACTATATCCTCACATCCCACACCCCATAGTCCCCCATCCTCTAACACCACGTCCCACAGCTCTTGATCCCACAGCCCTGCATCCTTATAGCCCACATCGCTGCAGCCCTGCATCCTTGTAGCTTTCAGCTGGTATCCCTTCAACCCATATCCCTAAAGCTCACAGTCCACAGCTCTTGCAGTCTGTAGACCGGCATCCCCCATCTTCATATCCCACAGCACCCCATCCTTTTTGTGCAGCTCCTGGACCCCCATATCCTTGCAGCCTGGCTAGCAGAGCCCCATATCCTTGCATCCCACATCCTGCTGCCTCATATCCTCACAGATTGCATCCCATAGCCCCTTATCCTTGCAGCGCACATCCCAAATCCCAGTACTGCTTCATCCCACACTCCCAACCCTGAATTCCTGTATTCTACACCCTGTATTCCTCCATCCCACTGCCCTGGACCCCTGCAGTTACAGGAATACACCCTGTATTCCTTCATTCCACTGCTTTGGACCCTCTGACCCATAACCACCTATTCCTACAACCCCAGTCCTGTACCTCAACATCCCTAGCTCTGTACTCCTGCATCTTGCAGCCCTGTGCTCTTGAAGATCACCTTCCCAACCCTGTACCTCTGTACTTTTGTATTCCCAACCCTGTAGACCCACATTCCTGCGTCTTCAGCTCGATACACCCATTCCGCAGTCCTTTACTCTTGTAGCCTGAATCCCCAGACCCACATCCCCAAGTCCCCCAACTCTGGACCCCTGCATCCCACAACCCTGTGCTCTCGCAGCCCACATCCCCAGCCTGCATCCCCACATCCCCAGCCTGCACCCCCGCAGCCCCAGCCCTGTAACCCAGCATCCCCGCATCCCTGGCTACAATACTCCCACACCCCGCAGCCCTGTGCTCTCGCATCCCGTATCCCCCGCCTCGTAACCCCGCATCCCCCCCCCCCCCC